ATCCTCGTTTCAAGCGAAAGTATTGTTATGTATGACTTTTTAAGGGTACTATAATCTCTCTCTCTCTCTGGATTGGAAGACAACATTTCAAATGTTAAATATTGCTTTATATTTTCTATATGCTATACTTTCTCAGAAACTTGAGCATTGTCCAAAAAGACCACTGAAAATTAATTTCCTATTATTTCTCTGATTCTACCTGCACCTGATTCTGCACCTGGCACCTGACTTACGGTAGAATATTGTTAGTGAATTCCCAATTGGTGAGACGAGATTGGCTTACGTGAATTAATTATTGGTTTTAAGCGGTTAAAGGTTAGCATTTAGCATGGTTTAACTATCATTATCATTTCAGTATAGTTTCCAGAAGTAATAAAAAAAATTAATTTATCAGGTATCCCTTACGTCACTCATACGCACCGTAATACCATTAAATCAATTGTACACAAAAAATGACAAAAAATATTTATTTTTTATTTCTAAATTGAATGTTTCGTGTCGTTAAATTCTATACCAAACCAAAACATATTAAATTAATTGCGCACCATCTCTCATTCTAAATGACACGTTAGATAGATGCGCCAGTTTCAACCCTGAACGTAACCGGAATCGTAAAATCGCAATACTGACTGACAGCCAGGCAGCTATAATGGCACTTATATCCTACCAGGTATCATCTAAACTGGTATGGGAGTGCATTGACAAGCTGAACATACTCGGCTGGAACAATCAGGTGCACCAAATATGGATTCCAAAACATACTGGTATCCAAGGCAATGAAATGGCAGGCAAACTTGTAAGAAGAGGCGCAGCCTCAAGAATGATAGGTCTCGAATCATTCTGTGGTCTAGGCAAAGGAACTCTATCTATTCTTATAAATGGTGCAGAGGAAAAAGAAAGTGAACTCTATTGGGAAAGGATACCAGGACTCTCACAATTTAAAATGCTGTTAGGGACTTACAACTTAAGACGCTTTAAATATTACATAGAGCAATCAAAAAATAACCCAAGAATTATTACGGGATTATTGACCGGTCACTGTAGATTGAATAATCACCTATTGAAGTTAGGAATTCAATCCAACTCAGACTGCAGATACTGTAGAGAAGAGAGAGAAACTGCATACCATGTGCTTGGGAAGTGCCCAGTACTGATGCACAACCGGAAGAAACACCTAGGAGGAAAGGAATGGCTCTATACTGTCTTTCATTAAAGAAATCGGACTTGGAGAGACACTCTAACCCGAGTAAGGAGTACACTATATCTTTTAGGTCGTAGTGCACAATCCCTTCTTTTTAATAATAATAACGTTTCATGAACTTTGTGCTTATAATGATGAATTAAGAATTTAATCATTTCAATACTAGCTGAATGCAGATAGAAATAGTCAATGAATATAAATACTACTTACCCATATATAATCTTTTCTACAACAAACTTGTGGTAGGTGTATGTAATAACCTGTGTAATAATAGCCTATGCAATAACAATGCGTAATCTTCCTTCTGCAAGACAAGATGGTATTAATCTTATGGTAATATTATGATGTACTCGTATAATAAATAGCTTAACCGAACTATATAATATTACTCTTGAAAAGATTTTTATCCACAAGGTTGGCTTGCTGCCAACTACTTGAAAAATTTTTGGTCTAACCAACCAAAACACCAAAGAAATAATACCGCAAGAAATCAAATTCGAAAAATCATAGAACGTCAAAAAAAGAGGTTATTTCTTTGGTTAGTTCACCCATATATTCTTTTCAACAATTGTCCAATAAATATTACCAATAGATTAGATTAGGTTGCAATTGTGTTTTATCGTATAAGAAAAAAACTCTGAGGCTTAAAATCACCTTGAACGTCAGGCAAAGCTTATAATGGTATTTAAGGGGAGTTCATGCCATTGACCAAGATTCCCAAAAATTAAAGCTCCTAGAGTGGTAAAACGTAGCTGTGCATATGCTGGACAGAAACAAGAAACAAGGCAGATAGGAGGCAGGAACAAAAAAGAGCAATAAACTAAAGCCCATGGACTTAGATAAAATAATACAAGCAAACAATTTTTCAATATACAACTTATGCCACTTAAAAAAATGATATATCTTCAAGTGCCGTTCGACCACCCCCAAAGGGACTTCACAAGCAGGTCCCGGCGGGTTACAACAACAACAACATATATCTTCAATATAAGTATTAACAAAATATTACTTCTTGATAACTTCGTCTCGAGGGTGGCTCTAATGGCGTAAAACTTGGAATACATGTAACATGTCTAAATTTTTTTTTAATTCTAATAATATATATATAATGTAATTTATTTTTTATTTTATTTTCACTTTATTCAATATAAATTAATTTAAATTACAAATTCATTTCGTTAATACAAATAATATATATCATAATTTTTATATAAATTAAATAAAAACATTTTATGCTAATTATATTTGCAGTAACCGATATAAATGATATTAGAAATTTTTATTATATGCATATTTATCTAATAAAACCAAAAAGGTAAATGTTTTATGAAATAATGATATACATATATTATAAATGGAAATAATTATATATATGAAATATATAATATTAATATGTGAATTGTTCAAAAATGATTGTTTGGATTTGTTTAACTAACTGTTTGATTTCGACTAACTTTGTTTAGATATTATTAATATTATTTTAAAAATAACAAATAAAATTAAAAATAAATTAGAAATTTTATCAATTCAGTCTACAAACAAAAGCTTTTCAAAGAAAATCGACTATAACTTTTTTATACTAAATTATGTTATTTAAGAGCAAAATTAATATAATTATTTGACATAATTTATATTATTTTTATAATAATTAAATGTATATATTGATTTATTATGTAAACATTATTAATCTAACGAAAAGTCTAATGATATTACAATATTTTTCTTTAAGTGCACAAAAATTTTATAATTTTTTATAATTTTTGTTAACAATATTAATTAATCAGCAAACTTTGCAATTAATTATTTTAAATATAAATAGTTTTTAATTAAACCAATTTTCTTGACTAAGAGGAAAGAAAAATAAGCTGCTTGCGACAAATTTATAAACTTATAAATATGAATATATATTAATATATAATATATACTAAATATATTACATATATTAAATATATATGTTTTTATTTTTTAAATTAACAAAAATTTATTTCTAATAAAATTTAAAGAGAGACTTGTGGCACACTGGACACAACTACATATAATTATTGATTTTAATAATAAAACTTAAAATAAATCTTAAATGAAATTAATAATTTTAATAGGAAAATTAACTAAAGTTAAACAACAGCGCAAATAATTAATTATATTATAAATTTAAAAAAGTAATCATTTGAAATTTAAGCAGTGAAATGTTTCTTAAATTTAATATTTATTATTACTAACAATTTTTATATATATGTAGTTCAGACAATTAATCGAAAATAAGTATTAATTAAATTTAATTAAATTTACATTAACAATAAAAATAATAGAAGAAATTATTTAAATTTTTTGCTTTCTACTAATTTCTTTAACAATATTTTCTAAAAAATTATTGATAGTAAAGAAAAACATTATTGCATTTCAGTAGCCCAGCTTCACTTAAATTTTTTACAAATTTTTTCTTAAAACTAATTTTTTTAAATATAAACTGCCTAAATAATATTAAAATTTTATAAATTTTTTTTATAAATATATTGAAAAAGAAAATTTTGAAATTTTAAACAAAATAGAAGGACAAAAAATGCGATTTTGTTTATTGAAATTTTTTAAATTATGAAAAACTGTTTATATATTGTCAAGAAAATGTTTACAATTTATACTTTTTTTTACTACTTTTTGATTAAAATAGTTTGTGTATAATATTATATATGTTTATATATAAATGTTTTTTTTTAAACTATTAACAAACACAATTTTGTCCAATTGCAAACAATTTCTTGGCAAACTATACAAAATTTTTTTTAATTATAAAATTAAAGTTTATTTTTCTATCAATAAAAATATCCTTCTATATTTATATAACTATATATTATTATATTTTGTTAAAGCTTAATTGAATTTAAAAAATAATATTTTAAAATTTGCAGTCTATATCTTTTTAATAGTGTAAATTTTTATATACTAACAATAATTTAAATTTGTTTTTTCTTAATATTAAAATAGTTTTGTGCTTTATATATCATAATTAATCAATATAATTTTAATTATTTTTTTATTAAATATTTATATACATATAATCTTAAAGCAAGGAAACATAAATACAATCGAGCTTTCAACAGCATTAAGCGCTGCTTATCTGATTATCTGAGATACATTAATATTTTTGTAAAAAACAATTTAAATTATTTTATTTATTTTTAAAAATTTATGTTTTTAAAATTATATTTATAGAAATTTATATTTCTAAAAATTTAATACGTTACAAAATTATTTTTATACATTCTAAATTGTTTCATTTATTTGCAGAAATTTATATCTTTAAAAATATGAACATTTAAATCTTAAACAAAATTATTTCTTTATATTTAAAACTTTTTGAATTATTTTCAGAAATTTATATTTCTACAAATTTAATTTAAACAATTTAATTAAAAAAAAATTATTTTAATAAATTTTAAATTATTTTATTTATTTTTAGAAAATCGTATTACGAAATTTTAAATATTTAATTTAAAAAAAAAATGGTTTTTATAAAATTTAAAATTTAAATTTATTTGTTTTTAGAATTTATGTATTTAAACATTAAATATTAAAAACTTAAATAAAACTTTTAAATTGTTTTATTGATTTTTACAAATTTATATTTCTAAAAATTTTAAAATATGAAATTTTTATAAAGTTATTTTCATAAATTTTAAATTGTAATTATTATTAGAAATTTATGTATTTAATATTTCAAACATTTAAATTAACAAAAAAATTATTTTTATAAATTGTAAATGATTTAATTTAGTTTTAGAAATCCTTTTTTGTATAGATTTTCTTATATTTTTTAGAAATGGAATGAGCAATGTTTCCAGACATGGCCAATATATAATTATTACTTGGTGCATTGACAATCCACTGAAACATGAGTTGCCAGTGCTGCCACTAAAGTAAATCAGTTCTGGAGATCTATAATTGTTTACTAGCCGTATATAAGGCATATGAACATATATTTATATATATATATATATATATGTACATATATATATAGATGAAGTTTTCATTGCATGTAATTACTAATGTTCTTCTTGAGAATATGAGCTTCGTGACGATATATTCAGTGTATATTCTTTCATATCAGCTTAGCATATTATATTATATTACACTTGATCTGAAAAATTTAGGAATTTCGTTGGAGGAATTTTGCGAGGTATTTCAAAATTGAAATATCTGCTGAAAAAGTAAAAATTTTGTTCTAATATCTACAGATGTGCGACGCTGCTTCAATGCTGTCTGTTCTCTTGTTTTATGTATTCGTTCTTTAATTTCTATATCTTTAATTTGTTTTAATGTTCTAGTATATTAATATTCTATTTTGTTTCATGACTACCTAATATAGTTTGTCTCTTCTCGACTAATTTCTCTTCCATCTTTGCTTCAGACCTATTCTTTAAAAAATTCTATGTAAATAAAGTCGTTGTATGCGTCCACTATTTTCGGTGCCAACCAAAGTATTACTTGGCGCAATTTCTTCAGCAGCTCTCTCCTGTATTGGATATGCTTCAACTGCTAAAATGTTACCTTTTACGGCTGTGCCTGACTTGCCGGCATCATCTTCTGCACTCTCATGTAGTTTAAGACTTTCTGCATCTAACTTAGGATCTTCACGTAATGCTGGTTCATTACTTAACTCATCGATATCTAAATCGGTTTCGATTCGTGTACGTGGTGTTGTCGGTTCGGGAGATTTAATATATTTCTTTTTTATTGCACTCTTAATGGGGTTCATATCTTCACTGCCATTACCACTACCGCTACTTACATCAGGTATGCTTACAGTATCATCAGCTGATTCAATTTCTAGAGATGCACCTATCCCAGAACCTGTTTCATTGTCTGTATCTTTAATAATTTTCTGTAGTTGAAAATTAGTGCCATTCGAAATTGTAGTTTCAGCTGAATTGTCTTCCATAGAATACATTAATTCAATGCGTTTAGGTAAAGTGTAGAGTGTTTCTGTAGTGGTGTCTTCGGTACCACCATTTTGTACATTATTTTCAATAAGTTCTGCACCATTACCACTGCCACCACCACTACCACTACCATCACTACCCAGGAAGCTGCCGGTATCCAAATGCTTAGTACTTTTTGGGGTTTCATATGGTACCTCGTGTAGATGTCTGTGTTCGTCTTTATTGTCAGTTTCAACAATATCTTCTGCTTCAGTTAATGGAAAGTTCACATCTCTCAAACTAAAGTCATCTTCTGGTAGTGAAGGATAAGCTGGATTGGACTCCATAGGTACAACGGTGTCTTCATCTTCGGCATGATGCATGTCGTCTGTGGTGACTTTCTGTCTATCAGTTGCAAATGTAGTTGACTTCGGTGCGTCTGTAAGTTTAGGTGTAGTGCTTTCGACTACGGATGTTAAGGTTTCACATGGTGGTTCTGTTGAACTTTGTGCTCTGATTGGACTTTCAGTGCTACTGTTCTTGGTATTACTGGTATTTTGTGACAGTGGATTGGTGTCTTTAACAAATGCACTCTCTACAGCAGTGGGAGAGCTTACACCTGGCAATAAAGAATCATTGTTATAAAAAATTTTAATGAATTTTTAGAATTTCAACTTCACTTACCTTCCGTGGATATTGTGTCATTGGTCAAATAGCTTTCGGTGTGTTCTATATGTTCGCTTGTACGCGGGCCATCGGTAGTCAGTATTATGTGATATATGTTGTCACTTCCAGCTGTGTCGGGTTCCAGTTCCACGGGTGCTTGTGCACTTTCGTTACCATTAATCTGCTCGCTACTACTAGCGCGTACAGATTCATTTGGAAAAATTAGTTCCAATGAATCCGTCTGTTCAGCACTGTTCGCAACAGATGTGGTTAGTAAATTCTCGCGTTTGATATTCACTTTATTGGCATCATTCGTGGTCTCGCTTTCGCCTTGCAAACCATTTTGACCAACAAACGCGGCAAGTGGCTTTTCATCGAAGCTTTCTAATTCACTTCCAGTTGTCGGGTATGCGACTGAAGCGCTTAACTTTAAGCTTTCGGTGCTTTTATTGTTATTGACTGGAAGCAATGTTTGTCGTCGGCTATTCTCAACGTCATTGGAAGCTGGAGCTTGCACAGAGCTTTTATTGCTGATTTCTGTTGAGTCTGATGTTGATGATGTCTTAGCTAAACCAACAGCGGTTGTTGTTGTGGCTGGTGCCGGTGTTGTTAATGTTGGTAGATTGGTTATTGTTGAAATTGTTGAAATTCCCACAGCAGGTGTTGTTGTTGCTATCTGCGCTGCCAATGAAGTGGGTGCACTTGTTTCGACTACTGGCATTGTTGTTGTTGAAGTACTAGGGGTGTTGGGTTTCAGCATCTGAGGTATGGGTATAGCTTTATTGTCATTGGTTATGCGAATTTCCATGCGTTTTGTGATTTCTTTGATCGTTATTTTTGGATTATTTGCAGCGGCAGCTATCTCGGGTCTTATAGTTGTTGATGTTGAAGTTGTAGTTGTAAACGGATTAGTCGGAATATCCACAACAGAATTGTTGTTATTACTAGGACTAAGAACTGTTAAGAAAAAAAAATAAAATCAATTGATTCGTTTTAGAAATTGGTTAATATTTAAAAATGTACAGTTAAAGTAAAATAAACAATTTACAAAAGTAAGCAAAAATGTTTTTTAAAAAATTAAAAATATAAAATTAAATTTAAAATTTAAAAATTAAGTGAAAAAATTATTTCAAAATATATAAGATGTGAAATTAAAAAAATTTTAATTTTATTTATATTAACTTTCGTTTAATTAGTTATTAATTAATTTTTGAAGAAACGGACAAACAATCCGCGAAATGTTCAACTTCTAAATTTATTAAAATATATAATTGTTTAAACAAATATGTTCTTGCTCCACAATTTAAATAATATTTAATAACTTTTATAACAATAATAAATATATATAAATTAAATTTAAGTTTTTTAATGAAAGTTCATGATTAATCTCAAAATAAGAAATTAGTATTTCCGATGTGTTTTTTTTTTTTTCATTAACGGTTAATATTAGTAACTAAATTTTAACAATTTTAGTTTTTTATATTTTTTACGAAAATCCTGATCTATTATCTTTATAAAAAAAAAAGTGTAGGTTTCTATTATGAACAGCGCCTGAGTTATGGCCACTTACAAATAGGTCGAAAGTACAAATTCTAAAAACTATATGACTTCATATCTGTTAGGAAATAATTTTAAATTTTTTTTCCCAAGACACGGGAATTTTTATTTAAAAAAAAAGAGTTCTTAAAAAAATTTCACCTAAATTGGAAAAGATGAGGTCCAAAACTGTTTCGCTTGTAGAAATATGACCCATATGCATGCGAAGCAATACACTAAGACAAGCACTAAGAAATTGCAAAAATAATATTAGAACATACTTGACTAATCGCTTATATTAATGGATATCTAGGATCTCTTGGATTGTCTCATTTTTTAAGTATTTAAAGAATTTCGGATTGCATGTGTTGGATTAGTTTGATGCTGTGTGAATAAGCCGCATTGCCGCATGGTTAGCCAGCATAAGTTCATATAGATTTGATTAAGGTGTCGTATTAAAGTATTTTATAGTCTAAACATAGCTTTACCCTCTTGTAAAACAATTAATACATTTGATAATACAAATGATTTTAGCTTCCTTTTCATTTGATTGGCTTCAATATGTTTATCCCAAGTAAGTCTTCTGTTAAGATGAATTCCTAGGTAAGTCACAGTTTTTTTCCGAAATAGTTCCACTATTTAAATTGTTTAAAGAACACAGATCCCATCGAATGAAAGTCAAAATGTCTGCTGTTAATGACATTTTCACATCGCACGAGTATAGATATTGTCGATTTAGTATTCTTCTGATTCAGTTCAAAGCCGGTTAATGATAGAGAATGGGAGTATAACTCTCATACGCTTGCAAGCAGACAGTATAGTATATTCAGTATTTTCAGACAGAAGCATCTTGTAAAGATGATAATATAGCCCATGATTATCCATTAGATAATCTGCCAACAATCTGAGTTCCGTTCTACTAAATAATATAAATCTCATCCACAGAGTTCACATTATCTTTTTTCCGACAGAAGCATCTCGTAAAGATGATAATGTGGGGGATGATTAATCGACAGGTAATTTACCAATAACCTGAGATTTGTTCTATTAATGAGTGATACCGGGTCGATTACCTGAAGTGTCATGTCAGTATTGATTTCTTTTGAGTCATATGCGGTGTATTTTACACTATTACATTATTAAAAAAAAAATATAGTACCTCCTTCAATTATTAGCTACGAAATCTTCAATATTTAATATCATTTTATCTATGTCTTATTTTCAAGTATATAGTTATTATTTAATTGAGTGACATTTTTAGGCCCAGAAATTAAACATTTTCTAAGACACAAAAAAACACTAGCTTTAATATATAACATACCAGGACAATTATCATACTCCGGGCAACAGCGTCCAACAATATATTTTGGTTTGCAATCATCACGATGGAAGCAAGTTACTGAGCTGCACAATATTTCGCCACCTGAAAATGTCGGAAGTATGTTAAAGTATATAAGAACACTTCGAAGAAGATACTATAATTATGATAGAAGAATATTTGTGTCAAAATATAATCAAACTATATTTTTTAAAAAAGTGATTATGTAAAGTTTTTTATTGCATTCAGAACTTGTAGATTGGTTCATCAGTGAACACACAAATGCTCATCAAGAAGTTGGACACAATCACTCACCTTGGCAATAGCAAACAGTACAAGGTGTTTCTGGATCCACTAACTTATCACCATTCAAATAAGTTTTACCATCTTTTTCGCAATCTGAAAATGCAACAAAAGTCAACAAAAGCATTAAACAGTAGCCAAAGTATTTGCGTATATTAACTGGCAACAGGCAACTGGCAACTTGCAACGGGCAACTGGCAACGCGCAACTTGCAACGGCAATAGTGACTGCAGGCGCTGTTGCAATTGCCAAGTACATTTAAATACGAGTATATTTAACAGATGTTAAATGTTGAAGGAAGTTTCTGGGGAGATGGACTGTAGGTATGAGTAGGTACGAGTAGTACTACAACTTACCGCATTTGTAATCGGGACAGCAGTGTCCTGTCTTCTGTATGGCGCGACATCCAACTTGTTTCTCACAGTAAACCGTTGTTTCCGACACAAGGATACCATCTAATAGACATTGACCTGACAGCGGGTGGCGTGAATTGGTAGATATTGTTAGGAAGTAACAGTAGCAGTGATGTGATAGTAAAGGTGGAATATGTAAGGCAAAAAAAAAAAATATATATATAATAAATTAAATAACAAATAAAAGTTAAAACATAAATAAAAATAATTGGAACTCTTGAAACACATATTTTACTTTTTTCTTCATCAGTTTTATTTATTTATTTTTATTGCATTTTTTTCTAACAATTTTTTAGTATTTACCTTGCGGTTGGTCCATTGTGATTTCTGTAGATGTGGTATCCCTTAATTCGGACTCCTGCATTAAGTTGCTTGTCAAAGCGGCAACTTCCCGTAGTGCTCGATGGAGCGATGGCAGCGTACGTATGGCAGCACCATCTGTGTTGTCTGTGGGCACTGAAATTATACAATTTAAATGGCGTCATAAGCGTTTGCAAACAGAGCCGTGTAAACTTTAAGCAGAATGCATAATAAACGTGTACGCGGAGCGAAATAACTTAAATTAGTTTAGTTTTAAAAATATATAAATGTAACATTTCTTCCACCACCTGCACTTCAGCGCCCACAAGGTTCAATGCTTGGACTCTTATTTCGCGGTGCCTGTTCGTGCAACGAATTTTCTAAACGATTTATTGGAATTTATATGGATAAAAGCGTGACATCATCTTGGCTAATACGAGTACTAACCATAATTAAGTTTATTTGAGTTGGTATTAGAAATGGGTGACAACTTGACACAGAGATGTTATTCCACTGTTCCACTGTTACATTATTCTTGGTTTTTTTATTTGCAAAATTATTGTTGAGGCAAAAAGTTTTAGAATTTTAATAAAAGTTTGTTATTACAATCGAAACGAAAACTGTTTAAGACTTCACAAATTCATTGATGGATTGTCAGTTTCATGAAGAGTTTTCATTCATTTCAAACAATCAATATTGTTCTTGAATACGGAAAAGCACTGAATAAAGTGCTTTGGATAGGCCACTCGCTATATTGTGTGCTTTGCATAGGACAATGTACCTTAGAGTCATAAGGCAGATGGAATAAAGAAACCAACTGCTCTGCGAAACAATATCAAGACTTCGTTGACGGTCAAGTGAAAGTTCTGTAGCCGTGTCAAGGGTAAATACTTATAAAGTACTTTATTAGTACTTTATTAGTGCTTTAAATGAAAATACTAAATAAAAGATTTTGCATAATTTTTCATGTTCATTCAATTTATAAGTATACGAGTATTAAAGGTAAATAAGAAAAAGTTTGCAAAAAGAAAAAAATTAGTGCAATAAAAATATTATAATATTGTGGATTACCGGTTCAGAATTGAATTGTTCCACAAAACGTATTGCAGTATAATAATTTAGGTGAAGGTAAAAAAAGCATAACATAAAATGGATTTAAAAATATACTTAAAATGCTATAACTCCGTTTCTGTGTACACAAATGTTAGGAAATGTTAAACGCTATAATGGCCACATAATGGTGGACACATTTGGAGCACACTTGGTTCCAAAGTGAAAAGAAAATTTAAAAAAAAAACTTATATTTGTACTGAATCCACCAATACAAATTGGTAAAGTAGTTCCTGCATTGATGTTTTATTAAAATTTAATGACATTTTGTTCCAAGTTCCGCATCTTATGACTGCTCCAATCGGCAGTCAGCTGATTGGACAGCAGTCAATGAACTTTGTCCAGCACCGCCAAAAACGCAATAGGCAGAAAACACGGTTATGACTTTCGTATTTTAAATTACAGTATAAGCACTCAGAAAAATATTTATAAATAATTCTATTCGACATAAAAGATGTAAACATTTAGAACAAGAAATGCACTAAGCAGTGGATCATACTATATGTAAACCAAATACTTATATCACACTAGAGGCTCACAAATGGAATGGCAAATTAATGATTACTAGCAGCATGCAAGACTTTGAGAAGATTAGTTAATGAAGAACTTAGTCCCAAGTCAAATAGGTAGAATTAAGCCCACAGCAATTACAAGATTTATAAATAGTCTAAAATTGTCCTAGTTGGGCCTTTAGGCGCACAAAAGATCTTTTAGGTCAGGGTGCTTTAATAGCCTATTACTTAAATAATAATAATGAAGAACTTACTGAAGCACATTATACATGGAAAGCTATATGTACAACGGCACCGAACAGACTAAGAATTAAAATAGCTATGAAGGCCATAAGCTTCATTAGTAGTTAGTAGAAAAATGGAAGCATTTGCTAAGATAGCGAGGGTGAGCTGGATAAATTGTATGTATTATATATATTTCAGTATATTTAGAAATGTATTTCTAAACTGCAGCTATTCAATTTGAAGGATTGACAGCCATTAATTTTGCTTTTCGCATTCCAAAAGAACTAAAATATGGAAAATATAGAAACCAGCACATAAAGTCACCCCACATCACTACTTCAATGAGATGTTAGCATAAATAGTTCTCATGGATATCAGCATGAGTAACTAACTCTAGTATCAATTTTAAGTATTTCATTTATTTCCTTACCAATATAAACTAGTTTTGCCAATATTTTGAACACGGAATTTAATCAGAATCGCAATCAATTTATTCTTTCGCTTCAATTTAATCATTCCGCAGGTGTAGCTGCCAACTGAAAGGAGCGCTGACGTAAGTCAATATTTCAATGTACCTTTTTCATTTACTTCTCCCGATGTGAATGTCAAGGCATAGTAAATCTAAACTAGCACAACTTTTTGAATTTGAATGTGACAATGAATGTATTTTTGCCAAATTTTTTTTTTTTTATTCACTAAGAAGTTTTTAACACTGATACCAAAGTTCATACAATCTAAACAATCTACTTGATTGAATTAAAATCAGACACTTGCAGATAATCTAATTTAATCTAAATTAGATACTCTAAATTATTATCTTTCTATAAATTTAAAAAGCAATAATTCAATCCAAATAAAAATAAATAAAGTAAAAATATTAACTTTGCTAATACAAAGTACATCAAAAATGAAAAAAGTAAACTTTATGGACAGAAAAATATCTTATATCCCAGTTACATATAGGTATCAATCCAAAAGGCAAAAAATTGTTTGATTTAAAAAAAAAAATAAACTATTATTTTCTGATAGATATTCACACTTCTCACTGCAAACTGATTCCTTACGGACGCAGTTAACCAAATTATCGAAAAACTATCGAAACCTTAAAAGCTTACATGAAAAACTGATAGAGTTCGGATTTAGTTTATAAGTGATTGGGGTTTCTTTTTAAAAAACTATCGGAAAATGAGATAGTTTCACGAAGTATTTGAAAAATATGACAAATTCGAAACGAAACTATTATCACCCATTATCGATAGGATTAATTTGGATTAATATCTAAATCGGAATATGCGATTGGTTTTTTTTATAAAAAATCATCGGAAAATGAGATAGTTTCATTAGATATTTGAAAAATATTACGAATTCGATATAAATTGGATAGCCATGAATTTTTCAATCGATTTTACGATAGTTTTTCTAACGAGACTATTATCAGCTTCATTAAAAAATCTATAGCAAAAACCATCAAATGCAAATGGGGGGTGGGTTTTCTATCATAGAGTTCAAACAGTAAATATTAATGTGATTGCTATCGAAATACCGTACAAAATTTTTTATTTTAATATATTTTTTGGATCTATCCATTAGGTAAATAATGTTGAGCCTTTTCCGAGTAAGTGCATTTCGGCATTTTTACTCTTTGATAGCTGTGGGGTTTCTGCATCTCATTGACTAATTTATATATTCCTGATAATCTTCGTGATTGTTCAGTGGCTGTTAAACGATTGATATTATAAAATGACAAACATTGAACTGATTATATCATACATAGGAAGTAAGTTTATTGGATATTACATGAAATAGATTACTCTTTATAAGCAACTGTTTAAGTTCAGTTGGATATCCAAAGTTGAGGTAAAAAGGATAAAGTAAAATAAAATAATCTGTGCAATGTTTAACACTCCTCATACATAATTTTGTAGAAACGTTCACTTTCTCTGTTAGTATATCCTCTAAAACTTTACTACCACAGATATTTGTAACAACTTTGACCATGGATTGTCATGGTCGGTGACTGCCTAAGTCATCTCAAACCATGGTTTTTGGGGTTTAATTTGTTTGATACTCATTCGTTAACAGTCATTTGGCAATGTTTTTGACTAGAAGTATAGAATTATTTGGATATTCATATTTTTTTGTTAAAGGAATTTCAGGATACTAACAATATCCACTTTTGATTTTCTGTTAACATTGTCTGTCACGGAGAAAACTCTTTCCAAAATATTAAGACACTTCGGCTTCTATAAAATATAGATGCAGTATTGTCAACAACAATTTAAAGTTGATTTCAGTTAATTCAAGCTACTCTGTATGTCATATATTGCATATACATTGTGACCGAAAAGTTTCCGGAAAATTTTAAATAAAACGCAAAATTCTTAATCTTCATCAATATTTATTTTATCTCCTTCAAAATATGCTCCATTAGAAGCGATACACAAATGCCAACGTTTCTTCCAATCATCAAAACATTTTTTATAGGCGCTTTCCGGTATGGCTTTGAGTTCCCTCTGCGAATTCTGTTTTACGTCTTCTATGGATTCAAAACGCGTTCCTCTGAGTGGTAATTTGAGGTTGGGAAACAGGAAAAAGTCACACGGTGCAAGATCAGGTGAATACGGTGGCTGTTCGATGGTATTTATTGAATGTTTGGCCTTAAAATCGTTGATAATGTTGAACAAATTGAGGTGAATCGGAACAAGCCGGGCGTTGACACGTCGCATACACAAATTGTCCACCAAAATCAAACGAGCCATCTCACGACCGATGCCTAGCTCTCGTGCTATCTCTCTAACACTCACATGAGGATTTTTGAACACGATTTCCTTTGCCTTTTCAATGTTTTCGTCGGTGGTAGAGGTCGAAGGTCGTCCAGAACGCGGCATGTCTTCGACGGTCGTACGACAGTCCTGAAAGGCTTTGTACCACTCATAAACTTGAGTTTTCGATAAAACTGATTCCCCATAAGCCTTTTGTAGCATTCGCAACGATTCTGCACACGAAATTTCGTTCGAAAAACAAAATTTGATGCAAACTCTTTGTTCAATATTTTTTTCCATTGTTTTTTTCGCAACGCACTACTGAGGTGAACTGGTTTCAACAGCTGCCGTAAACGAACTGTCCGACAGATCGCGCTCATTTTTGGCATAGTAATTAAGGGACAGTGCTGCAAACTACAATAAACTTAAAATATCGAAAAATATACAGCGCGCGAATTTTAAATGAGAATTTCCGAAAGCTTTTCGGTCACAATGTATTGCAGATCTATTACTAAAATTATTAACTTGAATTTTAGACTTGGGTACT